TTGAATGGATGCCATTCCGCACTCGTAATGTCTTGTATGACATCTTGTAGATCGTGACTTGAATCTATACACACCATCGCTGCTAAACACAAACTATACATGCGCACATGACAAACTATACGACTTTTACAATATATGACCATTGCTCCCAGTCGATTATATTGTGCCATATGGGTAAAGTATGCGCGAAAAACCTGCGGACAACCACTGTCGAGTGATGACAATGCAGTTTTGTCAAATATGCAAACCAACATAGCAGTTACACGGCGCAACGGTCCAGCTTGTTGCAAATAGGTACGCAGTTGAGCGTGCTGTTTCGTTTGCAGACGCAAGCCGTTTGATTGTCAGTGATGTAATCGACCTGATGAACGCGTTTGTGTTCTCACGATGTTATGTAGATTTATACTTGCCATGGATGTTGCGACTACCAAAGACGCTGAAAATGCTTGTCCAACTGCTGTCGATCAAGCATAGCATATTGGCACGTCCATTATTAACCATATTGCACAACCAATCGATTGTAAAGTATTGACATACAATGTGTTGATTTGGCTGGGTCAACAAACATGACTACAGTGACACGAACCATTTGCATATGATCGAGCAACTTGTTATTGACATATGTAACATGCTGCATGGCATGTATTGTAACGGATTATTTTTTGATGTGTTTGACGTTTTTTGCAAAACAGCAGGTGTGTTTTTTGGTAATGTTTTGAGCAAACAACCCGATACTCGGTCTGTTGCACACTCATTGCGTGGACACACAGTTACAGGGTCGGTTTAGTATCCGTTCAAAAATGGAACCGGCTGATTAAACAGCTGCATTCAGTCGTGTAGATATGCTGGTTTTGAGCAATTCTGTTGTATGCCAAACATGACTATATATCTGCCACGCTTTTTACCAAGATTGTCAATGATAAATGCATGCCAGTTGATGTCGAGTTGCTTGTCTGAAAAATCAAATACGATACGAGTGATGTGTGAGCTTGATGCGTTATACTATGCATGAGTTTGAATTGTATGTAAAGTCTTGCATATCTCATTTTGATGACAACACGAACTTGCACACAATGTAAACCTTACATTGAATATCCTACCACAAACTGTAAAACGACACTGAGTTTGGTGATGGAAATAGCAAAAGCAATCAAACTCGATCACATAAAAGTGGTTGAATGAACACTTCAAATACACGTGATGACACTGATGACTGTTGACGATTTTTTGATTTATTTTCACTGTTCACTTGTTTGACTGGATTCTTACTCGGTTCTCATTCGGTTCTTACTCGGTTCTCATCACTTTTGTCGATAACTGTGAGTGATTCAATCTTGTCGAGTAATTTGACACGAGTGATTTCAAGATACTGACTGTTTATTATACTCATTCTTAGTGTTTCATTGTGCGTGGATAGTCGTAAATTCTTGGTCAAACATGAGCGAGTCCATTGTTGGTTTCGTAGAAGCCGGCTCTGAGCTGGGCATCCTCTCTGAAGATGGGAAAAACTGCTTCAATATCTATTGTCCAAGTTGCAAGAGTTTTATTTTACGTAAACTGCAAGGGTCTAAACTCTTTCCTACATCTATTCATCCAACTCTTGGTCAAGATCTAACGGTACCACTCACCAGTTCATCATAACTGTGTCAGGTTCATGCTTAACTCTTGTTTTTACTATAGAATATTCGTATGCCTAGCATTCATAAATCAGATAATTGCTCAGCCACTGCTTCACCTTTCTTTTGGCTAGTATCAGACATGATGCAGTTTGAAAATATTGGGTTTTCTCGACCTATTCATGATACTACTACAAACACTAAAGTATATACTATCGATCGATATCTCTCTTGTGCAGACTGCGATCTAGGTCCATTGGGATGCTCGGTTCTACTTGCTGATAAACCTGATACATCTACTTGTCCCAGCATCGTTGAATCCAACCCACTTTCCGATCAACCCATCGAAACAATCACCACTGCTGCTCCTACCAAACTGCTCATGATTGCTGCCGATAGAGTGAGATACAAATTGATTGATTAAACCATTCGTTTAAATTTATTATGCATTGTAAAATAGAACAGGGTTATCTCGAGTTTTTAGTTTATAAATATTTTATTTTGCAGTCATATTCATGTAAAATAAAGTACTAAATAAGAGTCAGAATAAACAATCAGTCTCATGTTGAATTGGTGCCAATTTAATTTAATGGACAACATTATATCTTGAAATCATTGTTTAAAACTAGTTGTTGGTTTAATGTTCAAACATGTTTTTTACGTATGGATTTATACTTTTATATGATAACGTGCAGATTGCAACTACACTATACAGTTCCATACCATTCATTCCTAAACCCTGCAGAAAATGACTCGAGTATAATAAAGGCACCTTACACGAATATGGCTGTAAATTCAGACTGACACCTGATAAATCCAATCACTTTTAGTTTATTTAAAAGTCTTCCCACTCATCTGCTGATGGTTTGGAGGTAATGGCTGCAGCAGAAGGCTTTTCATGTGCTTGGGGTGCATCCACTGTGGATCCAATTTTATATGGAGTGTTTGCAGAGTCAATGGCCGCTGGCTGAGTTGGCGGTTGATCTGTGTAGGGTGTAGATACATGTTCAGACTGAGGATCACGATGAGTGTCCTCCCAGTTGTCCCATCCATGCTGAGTTGATGCTGGATCTTTTGAATCCCGAGATCCACCAACTGTTTCGTATCCACTAGTTTGGTTCACCAAATTAGTGGCCATGCTATATCCAGTGTTGCCCACTTCCGTTACCTATATTCCATAAAAGTGCAAGCCATGCAAGCGTTTAGTTGAAATATCCATTATTTGAACAAAAAGCATCTAATAGGGTTTACTTTTTGAGAAATAACAGACACATAAGATTGCACGTTTTTAGATAGCTCAGGATCACGAATGGCTGCTGCGGTAGGTTTAATAACCTGTAACGTAGTTTAACAAGACATTCAAAGTCAGATCTAGCTTAATCATTACAACTTCAAAGCTATTTTACATTGTCAGTTAAAGTTTGTCCAACACGCTCTGCACCACCAACAGCAAGTTTTGCTCCTTCAGCCGCATATGATGTAAATAAGCTCCAGCCCATGGACAATGTGCGCATTGGATCATCTAGTAGGTTCCCAGCATCACGGGTAGAATTTTGCTGAGGTTGGTTGACAACTGACACAATGCATGTATAGTCAGTCTACACATTTAATGCTGTGCTCCAATAAATACAACTTTTGGTATCTAACTCTGATATAAAACTTACAATCGGGGTTACCAAAACCACTGAATCGTCCTCCTTGACTAGGATTTACCCCTTCTGGACGATTCATGTTGTCCTGTCCTTTTTGCTACAACGACCCATATTCAGATTAGCTACAAAGGTAGGTTCCAGAATCAGATTAAAGAGAAGACAGCCACATAAAATGCAATCTTACAGCAAAATACTGCTCGTTACGAGCCTTGTCACTTGAAGGCGGGAGATGAGAAAGCTGAGAAACAGAAGCTGAAAGCACATCCGTGTTTTGTGATGCAGGAGTAGGTGCTGGTCCAATGGGCGGCATTTCCCATGGTTTTCCCTCAACAGCTGAAGTCAGTTTATCCTTGTAGAATCGCGCAAATTCACTATCGTATTTCTGTGGAATAGACATGCCTTCTTTATAATCTAGATGTGTTGAATCGTGTAATGAATAGGAATTTAGAAGGCTCCGATAGCATGTACAAGACAATCCAGTACTAAACTACATATGCTTACGAGGGTGGGATCTGAAAAAGTCCATGGCATTCTTGTTGCCTCCCATTTCCATTCGCTTAGCCTGGTCTTCCGACCATTTATCCATAGTGACCGATCGCACAAACGACAAATGCACACCCTAAATACACATTGTGAGTTTGGCTTGAATAAACTGTGGTCTGAACCAAGTCAGAGTCGATTGCGACTAGTATATTTGCAATACAATCATGCGGACAGTTCTCTAGTTGATCAAGCTGATACAAGGATGAATAAATAAAGACATACCAAACTACGATGAACTCCAGAGCACTCAAGACAAAAAAAAATGCCATAGGTAACAGATGCCCACTATAAAACCCAGCAGTTGCAAGAGTTAACATGCAAACCAACTGTGAAATATCTGGCGAATCAGTTCAACAAAACCGACTTAATACAATATCTACATGCCTGGGGATGATGAGCACCTATAGGATCCAAAATAAAACAGATATTTTCAATAGGTTGGTTATTATAAAATATGCTACATTCATACTCTCCAAAGTGGCGTGGTGTAGTGCAAGATATGCGACCTTTGGTAGAATATAATCTGATGGAATATTGCGAGTTTTATTTACCACAGTCAATGCAGCTTTTGTTGACCTCTAGTCGCTGCAGCTCCAACAACTTTGGTCTGCAGTCCATTTGCAGTTGAATGGGAGAGTTGATGACGACGATTTTCGGGATTCAACCACAACGAGGGAGTTGTGAGGGAATTGAGGGAGTGTGCTTTGTTCCTGTGGAATTGTTTGACATGGCAAGTTTTTATTGAAGCGACTCGATCAAACACAACTGCAGCATGCCAGCCCAGTCTGCCCAGTCTGTCGATCGACCACCTGAATCATGTGGTGTATGCACTGACTTTAAAGTGCTTCGTCGTAAAAAGATTCCCATGGCCACTCCTTTGGCTCAATCTACCGCTGGTATTGCTGTAGCTACCAGTGAAGCCTCTGCATCATTGCATACTATCACACAACAATCTACAGAAAATACACCGTATATGCCCTTTCCCTGTCCACCCGATTCATCTGAACTTGGATCGTCTACATGGACATTCTTACACACCATGGCTGCATATTATCCTGAAATCCCAACTCCAGAAGACAAGACAACGATGCGATCGTTCATTCATGGTTTAGCTCGCTTCTACCCATGCTGGTACTGTGCATCTCATCTACAAGAACATATCAAATCAAATCCACCTCAGGTTGATTCTAATAAGGATTTGAGTGTATGGTTTTGTAAAGTTCACAACGAAGTTAATGAGCGACAGGGAAAACCTGTTTTTGATTGTTCAACCACATTTGCTCGATGGAGAACTCAAAGTAAAGAGTGTGAGCAGAAATGATCCTTTAGTTGATATAGATTGATCAATATTTAAACACTAAATGAAATAAAAGTGCCCATTTTATAGGAATATCAATTGTTTCTTGGCAGTCGACAATTTCAATTGGTTGCAGTTGGATAAAATCGCATCTATACAACTTATTCAATATCAACATGGTTGTGTAGAATCATTTAATCTTAGACTGATTTGCTTTCATTTCCAATTGAATTCAATGTGCATTATGGGAATAAGAATTTACTGATCAAACTAAAAGGTTGATGTTGATGGCATATGCTTGTCAGTACGCTCCGAATGGCCGATAATTGACTTGTTTAAATCAAGTACTCTACAAATATGATTTGGTTCGCCAAGTTGAAGTTTTAATATGCTCCGAATCTATATCAATCAAATAGCTTAAACTCGTGCTTCTATAAAAACACCAACATTTAAAACACTGGCCATGATTTAAATTCAAACAACTCACCAGCTTGTAAATCATCAACAAAGTCTTGGTAAGAAAGGCATTTTTTTGTAGTATCACTTGGGGGCGATGGATAGGTGTCTACAGATTGTACTTCAGCTAATTGGCAGAGTAAATCAACACGCGAATCATTCCATTGAACATCCAGATCCGAAAGTGCTGGTGGATTCCGTGGGTGCTTCTCTGGATGAGGTAGCGGTTTACCTTGTCGGTATAAAAACTAATAGAAATAAAAAATATTATTATAAAAAATAAACCGTGCATTTAAAAACAACAAAGTAAAGTACTTTTGAGTTTGGTGAAAGCGATCGCTGAGCAGTATTCTCAAATTTATGAGACGTATTAACGGTGCTTGAAAGAGCTGGTGTGGAGAGAGGTGTTCTTGAGGTTGTACTTGCCAATGAGTTGGGATTCACTTTTGGTGCTGAGACGGCAGTTGGATGCAAAGAATGCTCATGGGGAATTTCAACCGGAACCGTAAATGCATCCCTAACACCCATTATTCCATTGTAAAGCACAGAAAGCATGGATGTGCTAGCTACATTAGTGTTGTCAAGATTAATTAATGGTGTTAACACAGGAACTGAAGGTAATAGTGGCAATGGCCGAAATGGTCGAGGCGATTGTGCACGAGAAGGGTGTGATTTTGGAACACCATTTTCTGGGCTGGTATGAATTGGGTCGATTTTGGTTGACCGAGGTGTTGCTTGCTGCACAGATACTGAAGGCGTGTGTGGTGGTGGAATCTGTTTTGTAGTCACTGGCGACATGGACTGAGCAATTTTCTGCTTTGATACTGAAACCATGGGTTGTATTTCAGAGTTACAATTAGATTGAGCGTGTAAATGCTCAGAATGTTTGGGTGGAAGTTTTGGCACGGTTTGGAGTGACTGCTGTAGTGTAGGCACAGTAGATTTTAAAGTTGTTGGAGCTAATTTTGGGATTTGAACTTGCAAAGTTGATTTTTGAATCTTATGTTTTGAGCTAGAAAAAAAACGATGTCCAAACATGGTTGATTCAGCGCGACCAGATAATTCGGCATTATCCTCATCATCTGACCAAGGAAGTACCCGAGTTTGGGGAGTACCTCCATTTGTTGCACGACCACGGAAAGCAGAGGGTGGTGGCGACAAGGATCTTACATGCGATGCATTCCCCAAAGACTTCCATGGTAGTATAGATTCAATCCTTGGAGAAGTTGGAGATGGAGATCTGGAAAGCATAGATGTAGGTGATTGTGAAGGGGACATGGAAAAGGCAGATCTATTGCGAGCAAAAGGACTAGTTGCTCGATTTTTTGACTGTATACGATGCAGGCTGGTGTGATTTTCTGATGCAGACATCTTGTGATAGATTGACACGGGAATATTTACACAAATTTCTTGTCTATCCAATCAAGTTGAAATATTAATAAAAATCAGTAACAAATATCAAATGATTCATGGCAACTATGCACTAAACTTACTTGAAAAATGAGCTTGTTTCAAGCGAAACAACAATAAAACACATTATATCTGCAATTGTAGTGTTTTTAATAGTACACACCGTGCTCTGAATATACAAACACAATCAGATGACGTTTGTGAGTAGTGAAATTAAACAAATATGTATCATATTGAAATAAAGTCGAATAATATTGTTTCGTCAACTAATATTCAATTGGATTACCGGAATATGCAAATGAACTCGACTTGATCTCTTCTCATTTGGATCAAACGAAAAAGCCTTGTCACGGAAGTGGACTTCTACGACTGTTTCTGAAATCTCTTTGGCCTCTTCATTTTCCAAAATATTTCCTGCGTGGAGATTAAAAACTAGCTTTCTTATCAATGACAGCTTGAATCCCTGAACCTATATTCAAAACAGCCATTAGTCAGTTTTCGGATTAATACAACTGTAAATCTATTTGAAAAAAATCAAAATATAATTATCCTACCTTGCGATTGCTATAGTTTTCAATGCCTACATCAACAAAGACATCGCTTCCTGCATGAATAAAAAGTGACTCGACTGCAGCCTCTAGTTTAATCTGTCCATCGTCATTGTTAAAAAACCCTTTAAGCTTTTGAGTGCTTTCTGCTGACATCAAACTTTTTCCATTCTGATCTTGCGTATTTTCAAGCTCTGATGAACTGACTTTTGCAATTACAATGGTATCTGTGGATTTGATGAGCGTATCTCTTTTCCCGCGTAGCTCATACTGGACAATACTAATCAAAAATAATGTTAATACAAGGATGAATTGAGGTCAAGACAGAGCTATTAAAAATTCAAGCAACTTGAATCTGCTTGTGCATATGAGCTTAAAAGTGCAGACCACTTTTACTTACGCAGTCAAGGTATATTTCAAACTTGCAATTGATTGAAAAGTATATGAGCCAGGCAAATTAGTGGGGAGATCAAATGCAAACGGAAATACGGTTTTACCCTTGTTTGCTTGCCAATATCCTTCTTTACATGTTCCCCGTATGGCATCTGTTAATGGAAGTCGCTCGCCTTGTAATACAATACGCGATGAAAGAAATGCATGAGTCGATGTGCTACTCTCGGTAACTTCTATACTTGTTAATTGATAAAACTAAATTAGCTAGTCTGCTTGAGCCTTGCTTGGATTTGAGTTTTATGATTGCAAATCATGGCTTGAGATGTAAAGGGGGTTTGGATAAGTGAAGCAGGAACCAACTTGAATTGAATATTCAGGATTCGACTTTTTAAAAGTTTGACTTACCCTCACGGCCTCTAATTTCAACAGATATTTCTCCAAGCCGCAAGTTATTCCTTGAAAGAGAGGTGACTTCCAGTTGACCTTGCAATTGCTCTCCAGCAATAAACATTGTCTGATCCAAAACCAGTTTCAATTTAAGCTTACTGCATTTGCTTGATTGCGTGGGTTGCGGATTGAATGTCATGTTAGACTGTGGGCCACGATATGGACTTGCTACTTGATCTGCAACCACCAATTTACTGGACATTTTCGATGAATGAGGTCGCATGCTTAGATGGTCAAGCTGGTTAAGTAGTCTTGTATCGGTAGTAACTGGACTGTTTGAAATGCCAGCAAAAGGAGATTCGGTGTGTTCTACAGCTGGAGCGATAGACGGAGAAATTGGATCTGCATCAGAAAGCACTGAATTGATCCTTTCATTTACTTGTTTATGAGTTGTACGACCACGATAGGTTGTACCCATGGCCATTGCAGAAAGTGACATGGGTGAGCGTGAATATATTGAGTTGTAATACTAAATATTAGAAAGGTCGGATGCTCGATCTAATACAATTATTATCAGTATTTGTGGGCGGTAGATGACTGTATTTGAATTGATGCTTGAATGCAGTGAGATATGACTACCGTCGACTGTTTTTGGCATTTGCATTATCCGCTGATTTAAAAGCCATTCTCATTATGAGCGGAGTTTTGAGCTTGAAACCACTTCAGCCCAAGACTCCGCTCATAACGAATACTATTTAAAATTTGATTGGTTGAATTGTCTGTATGATGGCTTAGACTGCTATTTGGTTCCTTATCTACAATCCAGCCGTTTTAGGTTCCGCCTCACTTCATGAATTGCAACCTATCTACTCGACTGAATGAATATTCGTTTGTATAGTTATGATCGACTCGGTTAAATATAGAGTACTTTAAATCTTCTATTGAATGTTGGGTTAGGTATCAACTACATCAGATCAAGTAGTTTCTAGCGTAATAGTGTCGTCGATATCAATGCATTTGTAATATTATCTAGTTGTTTCATTAGCATAAACAAGCTTTCAAATGCAATGTAAACCCATCAAATTGACATATTCATCTAACACGGATCATTAGACAAGGATGCCAAAATACATAAACTGTCAGTTTCATTGATAATTCACACCAAATTTATTGAGCAATAATGTCATTTGAACACCCTGACAAAGTTTACTAGTTTTTCTGGTGATCGACATGGAAACAACGATTGCATTTCTGTATCAGTCTTTGTTTTCTTGAACTAGAGCACTGGCGTATCGGTGACTTTAAAATACAACAAACATGAGTTTGACAATATTAGAACAATCGCACTCAATATCTGGATTGTGATGGATGAATCTGTGATCGTACAATGTATGGCTATGCCAAAATTTGGAAAAATGGTTCGATTGCATTATATGATGAATGCTGTGTTTATTGAATTGAAAATGTTCATTAAATTCAATCTTTAATAGCAAACTACAACCAATACTCGACTATTATTCACTACTACGCAAAATTAAAATCACTGCACGAGTTCTATTCTACGTGAATACAACTGATAGTTTAACAGTGTAATTGAACAAGGTTTACATTCGTTGATTTCATTCATTTTTGACTTGTCGCAGACTGCATCAATGCATGTATTATTGCAACACTGTCAAGTATCTGTCAACTACACGAGTCTATGGTTTCCGTTATTGTATACGATCAACTGTTCATGTGGTTAATACTGAATCCTGTGTTCAAAAGTTAACTGGTTCCAATCTGATATGGACTGTCAATTGATTATGCCAAGACTCTCACTGATAGATTTGCAAATACATGCATCATAATCAAGGTCTTGTTTGTCATGATGGATGTCTACAACAGGATTCGTGTGTGTTTGTTGTCATTGTTGACTGGATATGTTGCAAGTGGATCTATCAGGTATAATGACAGCTTGACCACTCATGTCAATGTTTATATTACAGACATGGTTATTGGTGCTGATTGCTGATTGTTCAAAATACCGCATCTGAAGTTGTGGATACCATGTTCAAATCATGACATTGTTGGATATCCATCAGCTTTTGGTGAAAATGCAACACATTACCGGTTTCGGTAATATACAAACACTTGGACTTGTGTCGAATGAATCAACTGGTCATTGTATATTTGAATACGTATGACATATTTTGATACTATCTTGTGTCTTGATGTTTGATGAATTTTATTAACAAGATTGATCCAACACACTCTTGTATAGTCAGGTTTGTTTCTGTTTTGGTAATTGTGACCATCATTCATGCGTGTATCCGTTTCGAGATTGATGAAATGGTTGGGCGAGACAGGTTTACGCATCCGTGTTTTCTGTAGATACCGATGGCTGGAATGACAGTAACTGCAACAGTAACATTGATATTGACATCGATATTGACGCAGGTAAACAGGATCATCAACACACTTGTTGTTGTCGTGACGATCACAACTAGCATGTATATGACATGAAGTTATACCAAGCGTGTTTGTTACAACACCAGAGACGATTGTATGATCAGTGGTTCAAACCCACAGTTTGTTGGTTTCAGTTAGTGCAACCTGATGCTTTTTGAGTTGACGATCTGGAGGTGCATCAACTAATAATTGCATGGACACTGCCGCAAATACGATCAACTGTGTTTAGCTGGATAGCAGTAGTGGTATCAGTTGAACGACCGGTTTAGGTATGTGGTGCTGGATCAGTTTCATGCCTGTTGAGTCTCGGTTTGCATTTGACTGACACATCAAAACAGCGCCTGACATTTTACTGCCACAAAAACATCATTTATTGATGTAATGTTTGTCGATCTAAAAATACGATTGTCCAGTTTGATCGGTTTGATCAGTTTGGTCAGTTTGATCAACCATGCACTTGACTGTAGGTTTGCAGCATGACTATGTGGGTTTGAATTATGCGAGTTATGCAAATTGTGCAAATTGTGCAAGCTATACGAGTTATGCAAAACCACATATATAATGATGATCTGTAAGCGACCGTATGTGCCTGGTTGCCCATACACATTGCAGGGTACAACTCGGAGAATTTTGGCTACCAGTTGGATGGGTCATTGGTTGTTTTGCAGGCGTTTGACGTGTCGATGTGATATGCCAGCACGTTCTCGCACAATGCTGTCATACAATAAGCTATGTTGATAACGCAGGGTTTGAATGGATGCCATTCCGCACTCGTAATGTCTTGTATGACATCTTGTGGATCGTGACTTGAATCTATACACACCATCGCTGCTAAACACAAACTATACATGTGCACATGACAAACTATACGACTTTTACAATATATGACCATTGCTCCCAGTCGATTATATTGTGCCATATGGGCAAAGTATGCGCGAAAAGCCTGCGGACAACCACTGTCGAGTGATGACAATGCAGTTTTGTCAAATATGCAAACCAACATAGCAGTTACATAGTGCAACGGTCCAGCTTGTTGCAAATAGGTACGCAGTTGAGCGTGCTGTTTCGTTTGCAGACGCAAGCCGTTTGATTGTCAGTGATGTAATCGACCTGATGAACGCGTTTGTGTTCTCACGATGTTATGTAGATTTATACTTGCCATGGATGTTGCGACTACCAAAAATGCTGAAAATGCTTGTCCAACTGCTGTCGATCAAGCATAGCATATTGGCACGTCCATTATTAACCATATTGCACAACCAATCGATTGTAAAGTATTGACATACAATGTGTTGATTTGGCTGGGTCAACAAACATGACTACAGTGACACGAACCATTTGCATATGATCGAGCAACTTGTTATTGACATATGTAACATGCTGCATGGCATGTATTGTAACGGATTATTTTTTGATGTGTTTGACGTTTTTTGCAAAACAGCAGGTGTGTTTTTTGGTAATGTTTTGAGCAAACAGACCGACACTCGGTCTGTTGCACACTCATTGCGTGGACACACAGTTACAGGGTCGGTTTAGTATCCGTTCAAAAATGGAACCGGCTGATTAAACAGCTGCATTCAGTCGTGTAGATATGCTGGTTTTGAGCAATTCTGTTGTATGCCAAACATGACTATATATCTGCCACGCTTTTTACCAAGATTGTCAATGATAAATGCATGCCAGTTGATGTCGAGTTGCTTGTCTGAAAAATCAAATACGATACGAGTGATGTGTGAGCTTGATGCGTTATACTATGCATGAGTTTGAATTGTATGTAAAGTCTTGCATATCTCATTTTGATGACAACACGAACTTGCACACAATGTAAACCTTACATTGAATATCCTACCACAAACTGTAAAACGACACTGAGTTTGGTGATGGGAATAGCAAAAGCAATCAAACTCGATCACATAAAAGTGGTTGAATGAACACTTCAAATACACGTGATGACACTGATGACTGTTGACGATTTTTTGATTTATTTTCACTGTTCACTTGTTTGACTGGATTCTTACTCGGTTCTCATTCGGTTCTTACTCGGTTCTCATCACTTTTGTCGATAACTGTGAGTGATTCAATCTTGTCGAGTAATTTGACACGAGTGATTTCAAGATACTGACTGTTTATTATACTCATTCTTAGTGTTCCATTGTGCGTGGATACAGTCGTAAAGACAAGTCTCGAGCTCAATCCAAACTGTTTATAAACTCTTGTAAACTTTTCCTACCAAATGCAGGTTTGAATTCAGCATCAGAGTCTTGCCCCCGCAAACTTTTTTTTAGCCATATGTCATCATCATCATGCGCATGCAGTGCTGCGTCGTGCTGATTTGAGTGACGTACCAAACAAGGAAGGGTCGTCGCACGGGACGAAAGCTCGGTGATGAATTCAACTCTGGCATCTCGGCTACTACAATGGAGTTTAGTGCAGTAA